TGGGAATCTGGGGTTGGCGGTGCCAGGAGAACACTACCTGTCCAAATCCCATTGCCACTGAAAGTTTGGTGGAGAGGATATGGTCTGGATGTTTTTCATGGTTCGGGTTAGGCCCCTTAGTTCCAGTGAAGGGAAATCTTAACGCTACAGAAACAATGACATTGAGAACGATTCTGTGCTTCCAACTTTGTGGCAACATTTGGGGAAGGCCCTTTCCTGTTTCAAGCATGACAATGCCCCCCGTCCCACAAAGCGAGTCCATACAAAAATTGGTTTTTGTCCAGATCGGTGTGGAAGAACTTGACAGGGCCTGCACAGACCCTGACCTCAGTCAACCCCCATCGAACACCTTTGGGATGAATGGGAACGCCGACTGCGAACCAGGCCTAATCACCCAACTCAGTGCCCACCTCACTAATGCTCTTGTGGCTGAATGGAATCAAGCCCCCCACTGCAATGTTTCCAACATCTAGTGGAAAGCCTTCCCAGAAGAGGGGGAGGTTTTTATAGCAGCAAGGGGGAAACCAACACTCCATTTTAATGCCCATGATTTTTGGAAATGAGATTTTCAGCCATGTAGTGAAATATTCATTATTTATCAAAGAAGGTAGCGGTCCGTGGTTCTAAATGTTCTAAATACAAGTAATGGCATATCACCTGATTTATAGTGGCCCTTGCAGTTAAATCTGAGAGGATGCCTTTGGCCTGGAGGGACGTCCCACCCCCTGCCCCTGATGGACTGGATCAGTCCAACACTGTGGCCTGCTTAAACCTTTGGTCCTGAGAGTCATCATGTGAAGACACAGGACAGATAAGGATTCGTGTTTGTAACTATCTGAATCCATATTAATTACAATAAACCTTTGTTTTGTACAGAACCCACAAAGGCCTTTCAGTAAAGCAGGGTTTTGCCGTTTTGTACTACTGTATGTGCAACTCACGTGGGTTCTATTTGGTTTGGAGTTGGAAGTGACAACCGTCAAGCTAGAACCACCAGAGGACACCTTTCTCCAGCTATATGAGAGCAGATGACGATGAGCAATACTACCAATATAAAATTGTTTATTTGTCCACAAAGCACCACAGCAACGTTATCTCCCCCTTCTAACCTTTTGGTTACTTATACGTTTTTTTCCATTTGCTCCTGGAAACGGAGAGGAACTGGAAACTGAACATGTAACGTTTCTTTTTTCTATAATTCTGTTTTATTCATAAAGATGAATTGTAGGTATTAGACACTGTACTAAGACATTTATTGTAAACCATACAAAACTTTTCCCATTGAACAGAAACCCATAAATAATGCCTCTTTCTTTCCCTCGTGCTGTAAATTACATCTTTTTTGCATGGCTCTATTACTGTAAGTGCAGTGATACATTAGTTCCCCCTGAACAGCATAGCAGGCCTACTTATGTTGTGTGTAAGTGTTAAAAATAGAAAAATAAAAAAATACTCCTCTGTTTAGGACGAATGGCCTCGCACCCCTCGCGTCTTTTTTTTGGCTGGAATGGTGGGGGTTTTTTCTGCCCCCCTGAATTGGGATGGGGGGCTAATACAGGGGACACGAGAAACAGACCCATAAAGAATGACTGTAAAAAATAATAAAAAATACTAAAAATATCCCTTGCGTAATCTCGAAGAGTAAAATACTTGGAATTGTGAACAAATGTAACAATATATTTCATACATAAACATATCTATCAAACCCATATGTCTTAGTAAATTAAAAATTTTATTATTTGACATATTGGAAGAACAGTGGTCTAGGCCAACATTAAATTTACAGCGGTTCCCACAGCTCCCCTGAAGCTCATTTGGGTACTATTTGAATGTTTCTTAAAGATGCACTCTGAAGCTTTTTACAATTTCAGCCAGCAGTTTTGAAAGTGGTGCTCACAGCAAAAAGTGGTCCCCGTTTTTTGTGTCTATGTAAATCAAATTGTGTACTACGTCATCCATTTCGTATGATATGTTCGTCCTGGCAAATTTTATATATGCCCAAATTAACTTTTTTCCCATGCTTTGGAACTCTTCTTTTTTTTTTATTAAGAAAAGTTTCACACCTCTTGACTTTTCCAAAATTTTTTTTCCCTGTGACAGCCCTGAATTTAAAAATGGTTTAAAATTGAGGAATTTTGTGTCACTGGCCTATACAAAATACCCCATAATGTCAAAGTGGAATTAGGTTTTTAAAATTTAAAATTTTTTTAACATTAAAAATGACAAGTTTGAAATGTCTTCAGTCAATACGTATTAAACCCTTTTTTTTTGGCAAGCCTAAATAAGTTCTGGATAAAATGTGTTTAAACCCAAGTCACATAACAAGTTGCATGGACTCACCCCTGTAAAATAATTGTGCTTAACATGATTTTGAATGACTACCCCCCATCTCTGTACCCCCACACATACAATTACAGCGAGGGAAAAAAGTATTTGATCCCCTGCTGATTTGACCCCCAAAAGACTTTATCATCTATAATTTAATGGTAGGTTTATTTTAAACCCAGTGAGAGACAGAATAACAAAAAAATCCAGAAAACGCATGTCAAAATTTTATAAATTGATTTGCATTTTAATGAGGGAAATAAGTATTTGACCCCTCTGCAAAACATGACTTAGTACTTGGTGGCAAAACCCTTGTTGGAAATCACAGAGGTCAGACGTTTCTTTGTTGGCCACCAATTTTGCACACATCTCAGGAGGGTTTTTTGTCCCACTCCTCTTTGCAGATCTTCTCCAAGCCCATTAAGGTTCGAGGCTGACGTTTGGCAACTAAAACCTTTCAGCTCCCTCCACAGATTTTCTATGGATTAAGGTCTGGAGCCCTGGCTAGGCCACTCCAGGACCTTAATTTTGCTTCTTCTTTAAGCCACTCCTTTGTTCCCTTTGGCCGTTGTGTTTTTGGTAAATTGTCTGCTGGAATACCCATCCACGACCCATTTTCACATGCCCTGGCTGGGGGAAGGGGGGTTCCCCACACCCAAGTTTTGACGCACGGGCCCCCCGTCCATCGTCCCTTTGTGCCGGTGAAGTTGTCCTGTCCCCTTAGCAAAAAAACACCCCCAAGCATAATGTTTCCACCTCCCTGTTTGACGGTGGGGAGGGGTGTTCTTGGGTCATAGGCAGCATTCCTCCACCCCCCCAAAACACGGTGAGTTGATTGATGCCAAAGAGCTCCATTTTGGTCTCATCAGACCACAACATTTTCACCCAGTTCTCCTCTGAATCATTCAGATGTTCATTGGCAAACTTCAGAAGGGCCTGTATATGTATTTTTCTTGAGCAGGGGGACCTTGCGGGTGCTGCAGGATTTCAGTCCTTCACGGCGTAGTGTGTTACCAATGTTTTCTTGGTGACTATGGTCCCAGCTGCCTTAAGATCATTGACAAGAATCCCCCCCCGTGTTTTTTCTGGGCTGATTCCTCACCATTCTCATGATCATTGCAACTCCACGAGGTGAGATCTTGCATGGAGCCCCAGGCCAAGGGAGATTGTGTTTTTCTTCTTTTTCCATTTGGGAATAATCGCACCAACGTTGTCACCTTCTCACCAAGCTCTTGCGATGGTCTTGTAAGCCCATTCCACCCTTTGTGTAGGTCTACAAATCTTGTCCCTGACATCCTTGGAGAGCTCTTTGGTCTTGGCCATGGTGGAGAGTTTGGAATCTGATTGATTGATTGCTTCTGTGGACGGGTGCTTTTATACAGTAACAAACTGAGATTAGGAGCACTCCCTTTAAGAGTGTGCTCCTAATCTCAGCTCGTTACCTGTATAAAGACACCTGGGAGCCAAAAACCCTTTCTGGATTGAGGGGGGGTCAAATACTTATTTCCCTCATTAAAATGCAAATCAATGTATAAATTTTTGATTTTTTTTGTTGTTATTCTGTCCTCTCACTGTTCAAATAAACCTCCCAAATTAAAAATTATAGACTGTCATTTTCCTTTGTCAGTGGGCAATGTACAAAATCAGCAGGGGATTAATACTTTTTTCCCTCACTGTATCTATAAAGGTCCCTCAGTAGAGCAGTGCATTTCAAACATAGATTCACCACAAAGACCAGGGGGGTTTTTTCCAATGCCCCCCAAAAGATGGATAAAAAAAAAGCTGACATTGAATATCCTTTTTGAACACGGTGAATTTTATTAATCTAAAGGATGGATCAACAACATTGTAGTTACCCACAATACTAACCTAAATGACAGAGTAAAAGGAGGAAGATGGTACAGAATAAAAATATTCCTAAACATACACCTGTTTGAAATAAGGCCTAAATTAAAACTGCTAAAAATTTGTAGCAAAGAAATGACACACAACACATCTCTGAGTACCCCCACTTAATATTTTCAAACATGGTGGTGGCTGCATCATGTTATGGGTATGCTTGTCATCGGCAAGGACTAGGGAGTTTTTTTTAGGATAAAAAGAAACAGAATAGAGCTAAGCACAGGCAAATCCTAGAGGAAAACCTGTTCGTCTGCTTTCCAACAGACACTGGGAGGCAAATTCACAGGACAAAAACCCTAAGGAGTGTGCAAGCGTCATCAAGGAAAAGGGTGGCTATTTGAAGAATCTCAAATACAAATATATTTTGATTTTGTTTAACACTTTTTGGTTACTACCATTATTCCATATGTGTTATTCCATAGTTTTTGATGTCTTCACTATTTTCTACAATGTAAAATAGTAAAATAAAAAAAACCCTTGAATGAGTAGCTGTGTCCAACTGTTGACGGGTACTGTATATATTGCAATTCGTATGATTCAGTATTGTTACAAATTTTTTGTGCTTAAATTCCTGGATTTGCATCTTTAATATATATCACGGCCTATACCAATACCCAATATGTCAAATGTGCAAATCCTATGTTTACACAAATGTA